AGTGAGCCACGGGCCGGCCCAGTGGAGCAGAAATTCTAACCCAGAAAGTCTGATTCCAAAGTATTAGTTTGGATTTTTTTTGTAATAAGACCAAAATGTCATTATTATTAATAATGAAAGTTTAAAGAAACATAACTTTAAGGTAACAATGACTTTAGATAATATTCGTCCATTCAGAAGTAGAGGAAAAAAGATAATGAAATAGAAAAGAAAAAAAAATCTTTAGAAACAGAAACACCATAATAGAAACATGGCAATTAAGACCATAAACATGAAAACATTTCCCTATGGAAAAGAAAAAAAAAAAAAAGACTTTCAGATTCAGTTTTTTTTTCTTTTTTTAAAAAAATCCTGCTTGGGAGCGCGGTGGTGCTCCCACCGAGGGTTCGGATCCCACATACAGACCAGTTCCCGCTCACTGGCTGAGCGCGGTGTGGGTGCAACACTGAGGGTTGCGATCTGTTGCCGGACACGAAAAAAGACAAAAAGGAAAAAAAAAAAAATCCAACAACATGCCACTTATTACACATATCAAAGGACCTAGAAATATTAAACATAAATGAATGGGCAAGGATCTACCAGGCAAAAAGGATCTACCACTCCGCAACCAAAGTGGACACATTAAAAGGGAAGTCAGATCTCATTAATTCTTTAGCTCTTCATTGTTCAAAGTAGAAGACAAAGCCCTCACAAGGCCCCCCGGGATATGCCAAGTTCTCCCCACCCCCCACCCTGTCCTGCCAGACCTAATCCTCTGCCACTCTCTCCTTCCTTGATCCAGCTTTAGCTGTACAAACCACCTACCTGCTCCTCCAACTTTCCAGGCATGCTCCTGGCCCGGGCCCTTTGTGCCTGCTCTTCTTTCCCCAGATATTCACACTGCTCACTCCCTTGCCTCCTTTAGGTCTTTGCCATATGTCACCTTTTCAGGGAGCCCTCTTTTGACTATTCTACAGAATCCAAATACCACCACCCTCTTGCAATTCCTATCCCCATCTCTTGTTTACTTCTCTCTGTAGCATTTATCAGCCTCAAACATGGTATGGCTTACTATTTATTTCTGTTCACTTAAGATTTTTAAAAAATTTTTCTCCAAAGGGCTGGCCCGTGGCTCACTTGGGAGAGCGTCAACACCAAATCAAGGGTTAAGATCCCCTTACCGGTCATCTTTAAAAAAAAAAAAAAAAAGTTTTTTCTCCAGCTAGAAAGAAAACTTCATGAAACCAAGCATTCTTTTCTGTTTTGCTCACTAGGGTCTCCTCAGCACAAGAGGTGCTCGCTATGTATATTAAATGAATAAATGAATGAATGAATGCCAGCAGCAAGGTAAAATTATAGGAAAAAAGCATTAACCACAACAAAGATAACTTTATGTCAATGCCTTGAAGAGTTATATGGCTAATAATATTGTCACATACATATAAGGCAGAAACCATTAGAAATGAAAAAAAGTTTTTAAAACAATTTTACTGGGAAAACCTTAATAAGCACTATACATTTAGCTCAAGCAGACAAAAAGAAAACATGAAGGCATAAAATATTTGTACCTTACAATAAGATGGAATTAACATTAAAATGTATACCCTACAAACAGGAAATATAATCTTTTTATTGAAATGTCCACAGAACATTTGGCAACATTTAAAGAGCAGAGTAAGGCAAAAGAAGAAACATAAATTAGCAAAATGTTCAACTTAAATTCAAAGGCGATCACAAAATAAACCTACAGAAAAGGAAAAAGCAAACACAGGATTGATACACAAATCCCAGAACTAATTCTTTGAAATAAATAAATGAAACAGACCTCTGAATAATCAAGGGAAAGGAAAGAGACAGCTTAAATGAAATTAGAAACAAAGAAAAGGCTTTGACAACAGATACAAAGCCAGTGGCAAAGAGGCAGACGAGGGGCCTGGGGCTGGCACCCACATCTGGGAGCGTTCACAGCTTCTTCTGTGTTTCCGCCACATGGTCTTCAATCACAACACTACAGAATAGCTGGAGAAGCCCACCCCTTCCAGAGGGGGAAACTGAGTCTCGGAAAGAGTGTGTGACTTACCCACGATCACATAGTGTTAAAAGAATCCCAGGGGCAAGAATCCAAATGTCTAAAATTTGGTACATTTAGATCTAAGACAACATGATAGATGTCTTGGCCCTAAATCTAAAGAGAACTTTTATCCGCAAAATCTGAAGAAGGCTGTTATTATGCAAAAATTCCCTCCAAACTATTACTTTAGCCACTTCTAAACTCTCCTAAGCGGGGCGGGCAGGGGGTACTGTAATCAACCTGAAGAATGGTGTAATGCCTGCTGAGAAGGCTGTAGCACAGAGAGGTGAAGTGACTTGCCTGAGGTCACAAAGCATTCCTCCAGTTAGGAGAGCCAAGGTCAAAACCCAGCTGTCTACCCCCAGCCTCGGCCTATTCCTGCATTAGGAGGCAGGACGGGATTTGATTATGCTCAGGCTCTGGCACCATTAGAGACCTGGATCCGAACCCCAGCGCCCTCACTTATGAGCTGTGTACTCCTAACACGTTGCTTAAATACTCTGATCGCTGGGAATGATGCTCTACCTAGAACAGGTAGGAGAATTAAACGATGATCTAAGTGTAAGTGCAGTAATATTTTTGGGCTTACTCCTGATACACTGTCCCTCATTGTTAAGCCATCTTCTCCTCCCTGCTCCCTGCTTCAGCAGAGTAGACAGGACAGATGCCAGCCCAAGAAGAAGGATGTGGGTCATGTGGGAGAAAGCCCTTCCCTCTGGGGCCTGGAGAACCACAGGAGGGAGAAGGGAGAGGAGGCTGGGGAGAGGTGGGTTACATGGGGTGGAAGCAGAGGGCCTTTGCCCCCTCCTCCATTGGAGCCCTGGTTAGAGACCTACCCACGTGGAGGGCGGTATCAGCACAGCAGCAGCAGGGTGGGGTGGGGAGTGGGGAAGCTGGGGACTCTAAGGCCGCACTCCAGGCTCTCCCTGAAGGAGACTCCAAATGTGCTAGGAGGGATGGGGTCTAGCAGTGGCCGGGGGTGGAGGGGACACAAAGAGGGCACTGTGTGGTGGGATCTCACTATAGGAGGCAACAGGCGCTAGGACCTGGGACTCCAGCATGAAACCAGAATGATGCCTCAGAGCTAGGTGGTGCCAGCGGTCTCTATGGTTCAGGGACCAAGCAGGATCTGCCACTCTGCAGCAGTAAAACCCAGAAGGTACCACATGTGGGTACCTTCTCCTCAGCCACCGTGAGGGCACAAAAATGCGTGGAAAGTCTGAGTCCATTGTAGAAAATAAAGCAGCGATATTTCTTCTGCATATCTCATCAGTGCTGTGTAATCGTGTGACAGGGAGACACCTGGAAATGTTATGCCCAGTGCCTGGCATCTAAGAGTCATAAGTGGTAGCTATTCTTCTTCTTCTTCTTCTTCTTCTTATTATTATTATTATTATTACGTTCTCTCTTGTCTCACTTATACCCCCTGGGTATTATGCGTTCTTTCTCTTTAACCTCCTTACTTGACTTGAAGAGAAGCAGCACCCCATCTGTGGGTGAATGATGTTGGGACCAGCAAAATCATATCATCCATATGCTAGAAAAAATATCCAAAATTTGGCAAAAAAACAAAAAAGATGACTGTGTGACCTTTGAATGTCATGCTAGAGCTTTTCTAATTAGGTATCTTCTTTCTCCCAGTAGTATTACTGTTTAACTTATTATTCACAAGTAAGCCGGGCCCAGATGGCCTTCCTCGTCTGCAAAGATATGTTAACTTTGAGAAAACTGAGGTGAGGTAATTCTTTCCTCAGTCTAGTAGATAAGATAACCCCAAAGGTTGTGGTTCTATTGCACTGTTTATCAGCCAGTTTTATATTTAACTTAGCAAAGTTATTCAGCATTCCTTTCTGTACTGACTGCACAAATACCAGTTCCTCAAACCTTCTGTGGAATCAGCCATGCATCCTGCTGGTTTCCTCATTAGTGAGCTACGGAAAACTTTGAAAAAATGCTCATTATTTTATGAAAATTATGTTAACCATTTGTGAAGTGTGCCTCAACACATTTTTTTTTTTTTCTTTTTGGTGCTGCTCCTAGCTCCTATCTCTGCATATCTCATCCTGTCACTGACTTATTTGTGTGAATTCTTGTTCAAGGTTTATCTCCCCACCCCCACCACTGCCATAAGCTAAGCTCCCCGAGGGCATGTCTGGCTTATACCTTGATGTCTCTCTAGTGACTAGAACCTGTAGACACCTAATATGTACCTGAGTTAAAGCCTAAGATAAGAATAGAGTCAAGACAAGGAACTGTAAGGAGAGCCGTGGAAGGAAGTGTGGTCCTGGCAATACATTCTCCTTCTTGCTGAGGCAGTTTGATTTTTATTTTCTTCACGTGTAACTGAAAAAGTCCTCAACGAGACAGTTCCGAAATGAGACAATTAATCTTAAAGAAATAACAGCAGCCCTGATCACCGCCTCTCCCAAAGTGATAGTGCCACGCTGGACCATTTCTTCTGATTCCTTTACTCAGACAACTGAAACAGGGCTAAGGGGGCTTACCCAACCTCTCTGTTGGTAATATCACATGAGGATTTTTTTTTTTTTTTTTTTTTTTTTTTTTGCCATACTAGGGAACAAAGCAAAAACTCCAGAAAAAGGGAACCACTGTATCTCACCATGACAACAACTCCTCGGTATCTTTGTGGCCAGTCAAATCACATAACTTTGTGAAGTGGGGCAGATGTAATAAAATAGGGAGTTGTAAGGACAGTAACAAATAGAAAACCCATGTTCTGTCTAAAGGAAGCATTAACTATTCACCTGTTCTCAATTGTTGCCTTCTAGCTCCAGATTTTTAAAATACAGGCAACTATTTTTTTTAAAGTACAAGAACCAAATAAAACATATCTCTGAGGCAGATCTAATCTACCAGCCATCATTTTGGGACTCTTCTTTAGTATTTCACTTTTAGGGGTCAAAGGAAAGCATATTTGATTCCACGTTTGATGGACCAAGCTGCACTGTAGCTTTCAAAGCAAAATCTTTCTTACCAGCCATCGACACCAGCTTTCTGCAGTTCAGAAATGCCAAATGACAAAGACCCCATGAAGTCATTCCTGCTGGTCAGATCCCAATCCCAAATTTCTACTGACAGTCTTCTGTCTTTGTCCGATTCTTTCAGCTGACTGCAAAGAGAAAAAAGAGAAGTCAGTGGAGATTGTAGCGATTTCTCAAGCAGATGAAATGTACAAGAGGACAAGACCCGGAGGTAGAAATTTTTAAAGATTACAAGCTGCTATGAGAAACATATTCAGTTTCCATCCTAGGCTAGCTCCCCAGGGAGTGAGAGCTTTTCCTGTTTGACAGCCTGTGGTTTAAATAGGCAGGGGACCGAGGCCGACTCCGACAGGAACAATTCTAACTACTTTTGCCATCTTATGTCTTAATAGGGTTCACGGTGTTCAGGAAATCCTCCTGACAGGAACATAAGAAATACAGAACTGGGCGTGTCTGTGTGTATAGTTGCACATATGTGGGTTAAGGATGGGACAGAAAATGTATGGGAAAAAAAGCCTTGTTGGGGTCTCTCTGGGGAAGTTGTCTGTTCTGAGCATGCCCTTGACTGAGGCTGAGATGGCCCCCAGGTTTGCCCTGAGAGAGGGAAAAGGAGATGGGGTGACCGCAATGGACCAAGCTTTTAGCCTGTGGTTACAGGCATGGCCTCTGACGTCAGATTGCCTGGAGCTGAAATCGACTCCACTCCATATTTGCTATGGGACTTTGGGCACATTCTTTGTCCCACTGGTAAAATGAGAATGAAATGAACCAATTAAGTTAGAACACTTAACATAGTGCTTGTCGCACGTGGTATATGCTCAATAAATATTGGCTATTATTATTAACACCTATTGGTCCTGATGCATCAAAAAAGGGATCCCCAGATTTTAAGAGCCCTGGCCAAGGAAGACCCTCAAGGGAGGCGGTGAGGATCTCCCAACAGGTAGCAGGCCCAGCATCCTTAAACTCAGCCTTAGAGAGATTGTCACCACATCCTATGGTTATGTCACTGTTTGCTGAGACCTGTAGCTTCTCCTACAACTTGCCTTCGCCTAGCAATGCATCCCACTATTTCGTATCCCACCCACTCCCCCACATCACAGGCATGCTCAACTCCATTAAGAAAATAGGTTTCAATGTTTACTTGGCTCATAATACAAAAATGCAGATGGCAGAAAAGGGAGGGAAGGAAAGAAACAGGTAAGAGAGGAACCACTGATCTCGAGGGGCCATAACCCAACCTCCGCCACCCTGCTGTGCTGCACTCATTGTGACTTACAATCTAAACGTCTCGTTCCACTCGGGGTTGAGGGAGCACTTGATGGTTTTAGTCTTCTGCTTGCTCTCGCTTTTGGGATCAGGAATCAATTTCAGTTTTACGTAGGGATCCGACAAGCCATTGGGGTCCATAGGTACAAGGTTTTTAGCATCTCTTACTAAAAAAGGAAAAGCAGTTTCAGCATATCAGTGTCCCAAATGTTTAAGCACCAACCAGTGACAGCTGTAGAACCTGCAGAAGGGTCCTTGGCATTGCATGCATTTGCTGGGAAGATAAGATGTACATTTCTGACTCTCAGACTATACTTCCCACCCACCCCTAAGATTAACTGTAAAATTTCTAAGCTGGCTTTTCACAAAGTCCACAGGAAAGACTATCTCCTTTCGTTTAACACAATTTTTTCAAGGCTTACCACATTATAGCATGTACCAGTACTTCATTCCTTTTTATGGCTGAATAATACTCCATTGTATAGATATATGTGTTTTGCTTATCCATTCATCGTTTGATCAACATTTGAATTGTTTCCATTTTTTGGCTATTGTAAATAGTGCTGCTAATAAACGTTTATGTGCCCAGACACAAAAGGTCATATACCGTATAATTCCATTTATATAAAACATCTAGAACAGGTAAATCCAGAGGGACAAAAAGCAACCTAGTAGTTTTTAGGAGCAGAGGGTAAGGGAAGAGGGGGAATTATTGCTCCATGATTACAGGTTTCCTTTAGGAGTGATGAAAAAAAATTTCTTGGGACTAGATAGAGATGGTGGTTGTACCCCACTATAAATGTACTAAATGCCACTGATTGTACACTTTAAAATGGTTAACGGATACCTTTATGTTAGGTGAAATTTACCTTAATTCGAAAAGAACAAACAAAAAGAGAAAGAAAGAGCTGTCCTTTAAATCAAAGTGTGCCTATCATCCATGTATCACCCCTTTACCAGCACCTGCACAGCCCGTGGAAAGAAGGCTGGAAAAATATTGGCAGCATTACAGCTACTTGCTCCACCCTCAATCAAGAACCCCCAGTAAAGGAGGCTGTAAGAACACTTCAAGAAGGAAAGGAAGCAGGGATCAGACTGAAGATGCTGCTGGCCATATAAAGGATAAGGTGGAATAAAACATCAGCCTGGAGAAACAGGAAGAAGTTAATTAGCAGTCAGTTCAAAAGCCAGTAATGTAGGTAAGCAAGGGAAAGAAACCAGAAAGAAAATAAGAATTGTATAGATCTTCAGGTTTCAATGCCAACCATCTTACATGTGACAGAAAAATCCAAGGTAATAATGAAATGCAAATTGAATCAAACTATCTACTAGAAAGCATTGTGTAATGACTTCTACCAGGAATGCAAAGATGGTTCAACCTCGGGAAATCTACTATTAATACATTCATCGTATTTATAGGTCAAAGGAGAAAACCATGAGATCACTGCAGTTAATCGAGAAATAGCAGGGAATTTTCTTAACAGGATAATGGCTATCTGAAATAATAGTGCCACAGGTCATGATAAATGCAATCCCACTAAAGATAGGAATAGGACAAAGATACCCATTGCCACAGCCATTATTCAACACTTTTTATAAGTGTCCCACAAGTGCATAAGACAATAAACACAGGAGCTCTACAGGTTCAAGATGACAAGAAAAACAGATTAGAAGAAAGAATGTTGGAAAGCAGGGGGCAAAGCACCCCCTGACTTCCTGAAACCCCCACTTCCTCTCAATCAGTCATCTCCTCCTATGCTCACACCCTGAAATTACACCACTTTCTCCAACTCAGTGACATGCACCCCACCATTTTATGCCACTTCCTAATTTTTCCATTTCATTAAATCTATTACTCCACTGCACCAAGTCTTCCCCCACTGACCAGTCCACTATCCCCAATACATTCTCTCTCTCTCCCCATTCCCTCTGGCCTTTACTCCACTCACCCCGGCTTAGATGTCATAGTGCATTGTAACTGCTCCCTTGAAAACACCCTCAACTCCCTTGTCCCTTTCTTTCCATTTCACTCATATGACAAAAACCCCAGCCATGGTTAAATTCAAATATCTGTCCTTTGTTTTCCTACACCCAAGCAGCTGACCATTGCTAAAAAAATAAGTAAATAAGACTGACTTGCCTAAAATCATACAGCTAGTAAGGGGAAGGAACTGAATAAATGACATGAGAAAAGAACTGGATGAGCTACCAGGATGTGATTTATAACTTATTCTGCACTGACATTTTCCTGCACGCCAGCAATATGCCACTTTCTTCCATTTATCCACAGGTTGAATTCATCCTCCACCTCAGCTTGCAAGTTGCATCTCATTCTTATACTCAAAGCAAGAATTTTTCCCCTTTGGACTGGATTCAGTTAAGTTCAACAAGCAGGTCTCTACTATGTGCTAAACATTTTGCTAAACAGTGAGGATGCAGGGGATAACATAACATGTTGATCCTGTCTCCAAGGAGTATATAAAAACTAATTTATTAAAAGCAGAGTTGACTTTTAATGAGACAGTAGCCAAGCTATATTGTATTGTGGATATAGGGCTCCACGATACCAAGGTTTGCATCTTACCTAGCAGTAATTTCATGTATTTGAACCTCAGTTTCTTGATCAATCAAATGAATTGTTATAAGAGTAAAACTGGATAAAGAATATAAACATGTAGCACAGAACCTGAAACCTAGAAAATACTCAACAAATGTTAACCATATTGCTGTGATTTCATTATTATTCATATTCAGTGCCCTCTTTCTGTCCATTTTTATTACGAAGACTTAACCACTTCCAAATGAACCAATATCAAATGGAATCACTTGTTTTTTTCTTGAGAACAATGCACCTGACCTCTCCATTTGAACCCTTCCAGAGGAGTGCTTCTTAAACCTGAGCATGCATAAGAATCACTTGGAGGGCTTGTGAGACACAGATTCCTGGGACTCACCCCTACAGATACATTGTGATACAGTAAGTCTGGAGTGAGACCTGTTTCTTTGCTTTTCTAACAAGTTCCTGTGTGATGCTGATGCGCCAGTCCACAGGACACACATTAAATTATGTTGTTCCAGAGCATGGTAATTTCTTAAGACACCCGCGCATTTTCCCCATAGAATATCATCTCCAATTGTTACTTTCTCTTCTCTCTTAAGCCTCCCAAGAAAAATAGCGTGTGCCAGTTTCCAGGCTGGGATCTTGGAATTCCACAATTATCATATAGTGAGCTGCCTAAAAACGTGTTCTGAGACACTCTGAAGTGCCAGAAATTTGTCTGTCTGCTTGACTGGGAACACATATGCAAGTGGAGACAATTTTTCTTTCTTCTCTCTGGTAAGGCCACTTCCCCACCCCTGTCTTATGAACTGACACCACAAGGATCATCACTGGGAAAAAGTCTCTTATATCAAGTTTAGGACTTCACAGTTCTTTCAGAGTGCTCTTTGCATGACAAGAGTGTGTTGTATTCTAAAGCTGTCAATCTCGAGACCAGTGGTTTAAGAATGACCTTTCCCTGGGCATATGCTTTCCGCACCCCCTGAATCAAACATTTCTGATTGAGGCATGACTCTACCTCTCCCCTCGCTCTTATAAGTCCTTTCTTCTACTTCTGTCCCTTTGAGTCTATCCTCTACCAAAGGGGACAAAAAATCAGTGGAAAGGAACGGAATGGAATTGATTCCATGACTGCTGGCATTCCCATCTCCAAGAGCTTTGGCTGCTAAAACCATTGTGTCATGAGCAGTTGACAGTAGCTGCAGGCTAAGATCCAAAGGCCTGTCCCTCCTGAAGCTTTTCAAAATCATGTCATGTTTCCCAGCAGCAAGAGAGCCACATACGTACAGAGGAAGCAAATCTCTCTAGATCACACTTGGCGAGACCGACTTTGATTTTTCTTGATAAATGTTTCTTTACTATCTTTGTTGAAATCCAGCCAGCCCAGATGGTACAAAATGCTCCACACAAAGCAGAAATAGCAACATTCCCCCCTGGTGGAATTTTGCTAAAGGTACAGAAGAGTGTCTTGGTGCAGAGAACAGTGCTCGCCTTAGCTGTGGAGCTGGGGGAGGTGGTGGGAGTAAGGTCTGGCTCTTTCCATCAAAGGGTCTTCAGAGCAAGTGAGACTGCTGAATTCTGGTGAAAGTTACCGAAGACAGCGCTGAATCCATAAAAAGATACATGAGTGTTAACTGTTTTCCTAAGAATTGTTCTTCACCAAGAACTTTCCAAATTTTTTTCTTCCCAAGAAGGTACAATTACGTTGGAAAACTCTGAATAATTGTGCTGCTTTAACGCCTCAATCCCACTTTGTGGAGAATCTCTTTATAAAATCCTTTTGAAGGAACTCTTCTCAACATCATAAGTCCTCCCTTTGTCCTTACTATGTGTCCGCAGAACAATAATGTAAAACAACATGCTAACATTCAGTTTGAGGATGTTTGCAATAACAAAAGTAGGAAATAACCTGAGTGCTCATCAACAGAAGAAGGAGTAAATAATCTATGCCTCTTTGTTTAAGAAAAAGATATGAAGACATTAGTGGCTCCATTAACAAAATCTGGATCTGCACTATTAGATAATAGCATTGGGTCAATGTCACATTCCCTCATTTGGATAATTGCCCCATGCATACATAAGAGAATGTCTTTGTTCTTGGGAAACACACATTGAAGTATTTAGGGGTATATGGGAACCATGACCCCAATTTACTCTCAGGTGTCTCAGAAAAAAATATGCACATATAAAAAAAATATTTAATAGAGAGAATGGTAAACCAAATGGGGCAAAATGTAAACAATTAGCAAATCAGGTAAAGGGCATACAGAAAGTCCTTGGACTATTCTTGCCACTTTTCTGTAATTCTGAGATATGGCAAAATTTTAAAGTTAAAAAAAAAAGACCCTCCAAATCTTCAAAAGAAAAGTATAATAAAATACATTTCCTACAAGGTCATATATGAATGTAAATATGTGGAAAACAGTCTGGTAGGTAAACCAAGAATTGATTTAAAATAACAGTCACATTTGAGGATGGTTTGGGGGTTGTGGGCAAAAGGACCTTAGCTTTATCTGTCACATTCTAAATTTCCTACAATGAGAATGCGTTCTTGTATTAATTGTGTAATTGTGTTATCAAAACTTAATTTAAAAAATTCAGTTGTGC